CAACTTTAGGATTATAAAGAAAACTTTGGAATGTGGGGAAGTGGTTAGGCTGTCAATCGAACTTAAAAACAAAGAGGAGTCAGAGTGCGATGAGATCTCGAATTTATGGTCCGGTTGTTTGGAAGGTAGACATGAAATGAACAAAACAAAGTCAAATAAAAAGGTATGATGGAAATGAGTAACATTACATGCAATTATGTTCATAATATACAACTAGACGAAACCCTGTGATATATATTAATGTAACAAGTGTGAATGATTATTCTACATAAGTTGAGAGATGTCAGAGGGAGTGAACACTGTCTTACTCACGTTGCAACAAGCAGAATGTTTGGTTTTATTGTATTTGTATAAATTTGTTTAATAAAGTATTTTTTCTAATTTAAAAAAAAGGCAGAATATTTCCCCTAAAAGAGAAGTAGAAACTCAGAGAGATAGAAAGTCAGCCCCCCCACTCCTTTGTTATGGGCCATTAAGGCCTGGGCCAGTCTATTCTACATAACAAAGATCTACCTCCTTCAGGCATAGGAATCCCAAAGCCCTTTCATTACGTCATCACCCAGCAAGTGTCAACCAAGCCTGGGATTCAAAAGACAACCTACAGAGTTGCCCTTGCATGGCCCCCTGGAAGTCTGACAACTAATCAGAATACAAGGTCAAATTCAACTCCCAACAGAAGCCATAAAACTCTCAGCGTCTCTTCCCTTTTTTCGCTCAAGAGCTCCAAGGCATGTGATCCTGTCCACCATTAAACCATCTTTCCAAGCAGTCACCATGTTTCCAGTGTCTTTCTTCTCCACTTAGAACTGCAACCCAGGGAGATATTTCTTCCAACCCTCCAAAGCACCTGAAGGCAGGACAAGAAGCAACGGATGGCAACTAATCAAGGGTTGGGGTTAACAACCTAGACCTAAAGAGGAATTTCCTGACGGTGAGAGCAATTAACCAATGGAAATGCCTTCAGAAGTTGGGAGCATCCAACACTGGAGGTTTTTAAGAAGAGACTGGACAACCATTTGCCTGAAATGGTATAGGTTTGGTTGCCTGCTTGAGCAGTGGGTTGGGCTAGAAAACTTCCAAGGTCTCTTCTAACTCTGTTCTTCTATTATTTAGTTAGGATGGTGGGAAGAGAAACCAGAAGTTTGTGGTGTCTTTTCCAACTCTTACCAAACATTGGGTCCTTATCTGCTTCTAGCTAACCCAGGTTTATAGCAAAAGATTCTGCAATCTGCACTTTTGACTTGGCCCACTAGAGGACACTCTTTCACTAAGAAATACTTCAAAGCTGGATATATTCTCTCTCTCTCTCTCTCTCTCTCCTTATTGCATTCCAAATTAGAGCTTTGTTAGAACAACTAACACTTAGACTTAAACTAATACTTGGGCAAGCAGTCTTTATTCTACCAGAGCTTTGCTCCACTTTGGAAAGAGACTTTAGAAATCCCCTACTTCGGCAGTGGCTTCATCAAGCGCCAGCAGCTGCGAAGGATCAATATTGATTTAGAAAACCTAGAACCTAGAATAATAGAGTTGGAAAGGACCTTGGAGGTCTTCTAGTCCAACCCCCTGCTCAAGCGGGGGACCCTGTACCATTCCAGACAAACGGTTGTCCAGTCTCTTTTTGAAAGCCTCCAGTGATGGAGCAGCCACCCAATTTCTGAAGGAAACTTTTGTTCCACTGGTGAATTGTCCTCACTCTTAGGAAGTTTCTCCTTAACGCCTTTGATTAGTTTCCATCTATTGATTCTTGTCTTGCCTTTTCGTGCTTTGGAAAATAATAGCCGGACTCCCTCTTCTTTGTGGCAACCCCTGAGATTTGTTTCTCTATTCCTTCTTTCGGGAAATATAATATTCTGCCTTTTTAATACTTCTCAAAATATTTCACTCTTCTGGGAGAGGGGGCGTCTTTCCTCACTAGCCAAAGGAACCATGGGAGTATCATTCAAGAAATCTAGAGATCTGAAGAACCACCCCTCTCTTCTCCTCTTCTGGAAGATGTAGAAGCAGCTGGCGAGGGCGGCTCCCATCACAAGGACACTGCCGCTACTTGGTGCACTGCTGGCCCCACCATTGTTGCCGTAATCACTTTGGCAGCATTGTGAAGAGATGTTGGATCCTTTGATTTCCAGGCTGAATCTGGAGCACTTTGGGGAGCACCATTTGCTAATCACCAGTTCCTCCCCTAAACAGAGAAGAGCAACAAACAAGCATTGGAGTGTGTGTGTGTGTGTGTGTGTGAGAGAGAGAGAGAGAGAGAGAGAGAGAGAGAGAGGCATTTCTGTATGACAGAGCACTGTATATTTTTAGCGTGGGAAACATGTATAAATTTATCTATCGGTGTTAGAAATATGGTAAAAGGTATCCTCTGTTAACTGACCCAGGTCTCCACAAAGTTACGGATTAACAGCCTCCTTAACAGCCTTTAAACTTACACAAATATAAGAATTAATTAAGTACTTATTTCAAGTTGTAAACCCACACAAGCCAGCACAGAGAGATCAGTTAACACAATGTGAACGTAATGACAACGCTCACAGTTCAAACGAAGAGTCCCAATCCACATCCTTGGATTTAATCAACCCTGGGGTCAACACATATACACACACATACACTTCTCAGGTGTCACCCTAGACCCAGCATGCACAAACATCCACATGCTTCAAGACTCACAGCAAGGACATGTTCCTTTATAAATCAGCCCTTCTATACCCCATTTTCTCTGTCGCTATCCCCGTGGACAAACCTCTTTGCTTTTGGTAATACATAAAAAAACTTCTTTCCTCACATTTTCTGGATTTCATTTCCACTCAGAAGGATGGAAGGCTGGGTCAACCTTGAGCTTGAGCGGGATTGAACTCCTGGCAGTGGGCAGAGTCAGCTTGCAATACCGTGCATTCTACCCTACACAAAAGGTGTCAGGTTTTGACCTTCCTTGCCAGCGTTGGTCAACCCTGAACACAATCCGTACCCAGTATGGTGTCTGCCAGGACTCATTGTTTAAGTGGGGCCTTGTCTCTACCCCTCAGTGTGACTGTGATGCTCCTGGACAAAATATCCATTGCCTTGTGTCCGAATGTCCATCAAGAGCTTACACCGGCCCAATGTCTGATTTTTTTCAACATAGATTGCACGAGATATGGAATAAGAAGTCCTCTCCCATAGTCTTGTGCAGGCTGTTAAATCAGGCGTGGGCTTCAAATTTTTTAGCAAGGGGCTCTCTGCCCTAATGACAACTGGGTGGGCATGTGACTGGGTGTGTGTGGCCAACTCGACGTTGCTTCTTTGCCCTAATTCCCCCCCAAAAAAGATATAAACCAAAAAGTTGTTTATTATTTCATGCATTTAATACTTAAATAAAAGACTGGATGAAACCAGGCTTAATAGCAGTGACTGTGAGAGGGATCTTGGAGTCTTAGTGAAGTTTCCGGTGAGTTGTGTGATTCTTATTATAGGGGAATTAATCCCTTCAGAGGCTAGTGGCTATGTTATCTCATTTTCTCTATGGCTCTCCCTTGCAAGCACTGAGTGGATTGTTTATCTAGCTTGCAACACTTTTACGAGGTGTGAAATGCTCTTGGCTGAATGCCTAGAAGTTCAGTCTCTCAAATTTACTTGCCGTGAGTCTGCACTGAATTTGCTTGCAAGCAAATCTTCAGTCCTAAGGGAGGTTTGGCTGTATTTACAAGCAGAGCCGAAGATCTCAAGACTACCTAGAGAGCAAGAAATCCAACCATTTCCTGCTTCCTAGCTAATCTAAATCTCCCGTCACAGCAGAACAGATGATGGTCAGAAAAATAGCAATTTAGCACGCACGGTTACCGAGTAAGGAGTGAGTGGGCGGGGAGGATTCCCGCGGGCCATGTGGGCGGTGCAGCCTTGTGTTTCTGTGCAGCCTGGATTAATTGCTTGGGGGGGGGGTTGCTTTGGGGGTGAGATTTCTCTGCGGCCAACCAAAATTTTCTCTCAGCCCACCAGTGAGCCACGGCCCCTCAGTTGACGACCACTGTTCTAAAGGGTGGGAGCCATGGTAGTGAAGGCCCTTCTCCTGGCCCTCACCAGCAGATATTCTTTAGCTAAAGAGGCCCACAGGGCATGTCTCCTCTGCTGGTGTGGGTGGCACAGGCCAGTCCCAGTGGAGTGAGGTGATTCCTCAAGTAACCTGGACCCAGGAGTGGGTTTTAGCTGGTTTGGACTGGTTTGGATGAACCGGATGTTAAATTTATACATTTATATACTGGTTCACTGAACCAGTAGTTGAACCAAATGGCTGGCCCTGCCCACCCCACCCCTCCCCCCCCAGGAGTCTCCACGTGGCTCCTTTTGGAGGCAGGTAAGTGCAGGGTCTGCGCGGAGGCTCTGGAAGGGCAAAAAAGAGGCCTTCCAGAAGTCCGGAAACGAGCATGTTTCCATCTTCTGGAGGGCCTCCAGACCCAGGAGGAGGTCATTTTCACCCTCCTAGAGGACCGAGGCAAGCCTCCAGACTCTGGGGAAGGTGAAAAACAGTCCTCCTGGAGGTTCCAGTAGGCCACAAGCCGTTCTACTGATTAATTGTCCTCCCTGTTCGGAAGTTTCTTCTTAATTCCAGGTGGCTTCTCTCCTTGATTAGTTTCCACCCATTGTTTCTTGTCCTGCCTTCAAGGTGCTTTGGAGAATAGCTTGACTCCCTCTTCTTTGGGGCAGCCCCTCACATTTTGGAACATTACTATCATGTCACCCTAGTTCTTCTTTTCACTAGACTAGTTATACCTAGTTCCTTCAATGTTGCTTCCAAAAAATGTTCTAGTATTTAGGGGGTGATGGAACTGTTTTGCTTGGAGTCTTGGAACATGTCGTCCGACACATCCATAGGGCAGCAGCGTTTTGCATGTTCACTCCCACACGAAGTATTTTGAAAGCGATCACACCCTGTCATGTGAGACAAGCCAATATTTCATACCTCCCTTTGTCCCAGAGTCAAATATGACAGAAGCCATTCAGAGACGTTCATTATGTTCAGAGTAACTTGGAGAAGCAACATGAAGAGAGGAGAGGTCCTGTTTGTCATTTTCAGTGTGTTGGTCATGTGCACCCCAATAGGTAAGTTGTTGTTGCCCTTGATTTGAGAAAAGTGTACTGTCTTAAAAAAACAGAATCTTGAAAGCTTGTCCAGACTTCTCTCCATCCTGTCTTATACTAATCAAAATTAAGAGAGGTGATTTTGAGTTTCCTTCTCAATGTCCTTTTTTTCAAGAAGTCATTGCTGTGAGTCTCCCCTTACCCTTTCCTTCCTTCCTTCCTTCCTTCCTTCCTTCCTTCCTTCCTTCCTTCCTTCCTTCCTTCCTTCCT